CGGGAGGAAAGCCATTGGGCGCCAGAGCTGCCCGAGAAGTGAGGGCCCTGGCCCGGAGCGGCGGGTGCCCCGAAGTTGGTGGCGGGTTTTGTTGCTTTATTCTCTTTCCTCTCTGGAGGACTGGGAGGCTCCAGGGCTCCAGGGCTCCGGGCCCAGATTTCCTGAACTCTCTGGTGCGAACTCTGCAGAGCCAACCCGCAGCTCCTCCCCCACCCAGCGCCCGGCCGGCCAGCCAGGTTTGTGAGTCTCCATCTGTGAGACTGGGCTAGGGAGCGATGGAAAGCGCTGAATTGTTGTCTAATTGAAAATACATTTTTTTTTGGAGAGTGTGCTGACAAATATCTGGGATCCTGGCTTTTGATCCCTCGCTGCCGCCTCTGTTCTCCGGTCGCTAATAAAACTCGCATTGAGCCCCTCAGTGCCTTGATTAACAGGCAGATTAACTCTTACAGGGGTTGGGAACAGCTTGTCCTAATCAATGTCATTTTAAAAGCCCTTCAGGATGGGCTTAGCTCTGGTTCCCTGGCTGCTCCCGGAGCCAGCCGTGACATTTGCTCCCTCGGGCTCCCTCAACCCCCAGCAAAGCCCCTTTCCCAGTGTGTGTGTTCTCAGCTCCACATCGGCCAGATCCCAGGACTCCTTTCTTGCCTTTAGAAAAGGCAGCAGTTCAGAGACGACTCTCCAGGGAGAAGACAGGTGGCCTTGGCCGGCTTTCGTTGGAAGCTAACTCTTACCTCTTGGGGGCAGAGGTTACAGGGAAAGAAGAGATGGGAGATCCTCCCAGGTGGCAAAATGGAAAGCAAACTTCCCCGGGAATTTGCAAATAACGGGAGGGTGCTGCTGATTCCGTGTCCTGTACAGCAGGATTGAAACCTACTTATCTAGAAGCAAGTAGGGGCCGGGAGGAGGGTCTTGGAGTCAAACCCACCAGGTTCACAAGGAACCTCTTCCTGGGAGACTCAGCTGGACAGTGTTTTTAAAAGTGTTGTGGGCAGGCGAGGAGTCTCTCACTGCCCAGTGAGTCGAACGGGATGGAGCAAAGCAACAGTTTGAAGTCCTGGCCATTTGGCAAAAGGCGGAATGGGGCGAGGGCACCACGGCTTTCTCCAGCCAAGCGTGGCCTCTGCCAGACGGCGCCGGACCAGCTCCCAACTCTGGGTTTCCCTCTGTGCTCCGCCAGGCTGCCGGTGAGCGGGTGCCTGGAGTGTTGCTGGAGAACGCAGTAGGAGAAAGCCCAGAGCAGCCCGGAGGCACCCTGGACATGGCGGCTGGGGTGGGGAACCTTTGCCCTTCCTGCTCTTTTGACCCACTTTCCAGCTCCGCAATTCAGGAAGCCCACATTCCCTGGGCCTGCAGAAAGGGAGAGATTTGGGGCTGTGCAATGCGAGGCAGGTGTCTGCAGAGGCTTTCCTGTGTCAAAGAAATGCCAGTCTTCACCCTTCTGGGCATTGCTGGGCGGGGAAAGCTAGAGTTCGGAGGTGTCAGAACCCTGAGTGGCACACTCTCAAGGTCTAGAAGCCCGAGCAGAGTATACACTCCACTGAGGCCACTTTGCCTTGCCAGGGGTGACCCGACCCGAACCTGATGGGGTGGGAGAGGCCTACATCAGGAAACGTGGGTGTGAGAGGCTGCCCGACCTCGCGCTTACCCTCCACACCAGCGAGAGCGCAGGGCACTCTGGCGAGCCTCGATCGCCCAGCGCGACTCCCTGGGCCCTGGCAGCCTCCCACAACGGGTGGGATGACCCGGGCGGCCCCTGCGGGCCAACGACAGGCCGGAGAGAGGTCGTCCTCGGGCGCCAGGGGGCGGAGGGGGCAGTGAGCAAGGGGAGAGGCGGGGAAAGGCCAGATGGGAGCCTAAGGCGCGGTCCCCTCGGGCAGTGAGCAAGGGGAGAGGCGGGGAAAGGCCAGATGGAAGCCTAAGGCGCGGTCCCCTCGCCTGGCGGGCACCGAGTGGGCCTCGGCGTGTTGGAAGCCGCAAGTAAAATGGCGACCTGCAAGTTGTCTGAATTTCGAGCACACCTCTGGCTACGGCCTGCCTAACCTCGGTCCCAGTCCCTCGCCCCAAGCGGACTGGGCCGAGCGAGAGCGAGAGGGCCCGCACGAGGCAGAGGCACCCTTCTGAGCCCGTGCGGAGCGCAGGGCTCAGCCTCGGAAACTTCGCGCCCTGGTGTCCCGCGGCCGCCCCGCCCCCGCCCGCACTGGCACGCTGCAGCCGCCAAGTTCTTTCCGCTCCGCGTTGGTTCCGAGGGGTTTCCGCGTCTCCCCGAGCCCCCATCCCGCCCAGTGACGTCAGTGCATTCACTCCCCACTCCGCGCCGCCTCCCATTTTTGTTAAAACTTTTCTCCGGCGAGGTGGGGGTCGGGGTGGGAGAAGGGCCGACTCAAAGGGCCAGAGCCCCGGGGGAAATAGCCCCAGATTAGGGCTGCCGCCTTCCGAGGCCGAGTTTAAGAAGGCGCTAATCCACTCGGTCGCTAATTGAGAGGTGGTAAAAACGATATTCGCCTCCAGTCCGGGCAGTCCCCGGCCCTCTTCCCCCTTCTCGCCCGAGCCTCGCGGACTCGAGTCCAAGCGCTGACTCCCGCTTGGAAGGAAGGAGGACGCAGACTCGCTGGCCGGCTTCCTGGGAGCCTCGGAAAGTCTCGGTCCTGCGAAATCGCGCCCAGAAGGCCGGGCCGGCCAGGCCGCGTCGCCTCCCTCCGCCTCCGCCTCCGCCTCCGCCGTGGGTTTCCTCCGGGTGCCGAGTGCTCCTGGGTGGCGGGAAGGGCCGGAGCCCGCTGCCCGCTGCCCGCTGCCCTGCCCGAGCCGGGGAGGTGCGGGGTCTGGCGGCCCGGGCCCAGGCGCGGGCCGGGGGGGCCCCGCG